GGGGACGGGGGAGGGTGAAGTTAAAAATATGCTGACATAGTCTATGGCCTAACAAAGGGAGTATCACTGATTGCCTTCTTGAAGGTGTCAAGTGATGGACTGCTGCAAGCTCCTAACGGGAGGGCGTTCCATTGGACTATGGTTAGGGGGAAGAAAGAGTATTTGTAAAAGTCCTTATTGGTAGGGATTTGCCGAAAAGATAGGGGGTGGGCATTTCTTGATAGTCTCGTTGGGTGGACTACATATGGTGGCATTTGGATTGCTACTGTCTGGTAGACTATTTTATAAAATAGACACAGTCTGCTTTTGGATCTTCTGTGTATTTATGTCTGCCAACCCAGACTCCCTAACATGTCTGTTACACTGTCCAGAGGGGAAAATTTGCCAGACACCCACCTAGCAGCTCTGCGCTGGACCATTTCTAGTTGTTTACTTTGATCTTGGGTGTATGGGTCCCAGCCACAGGCAGGATATTCTAATTCTAACATCAATATCGAACAAATTGACTGCACAGTATATAATATTTGATTGTAAAGACCATTAGAGTGTAAATAGTCATATATCAATTGCACAGAAACTGATATATATCAAGTTCAGAACGTGTACGGTCGAGGAAAGTGTCCTTATAATTTTGAAATGGAAAAGACAAAGACGTCAAATATATCTTGAATTACTTTATATATATAGATTTAAGAACGTGTACGGTCCTAAGCGGGGACATCCTGATCAGGTAATCATTTACTCATTAACGTCGTATTAATGGATCAGATGCATTCCGGTGCTTACAGTCGAGAGAGGAGTAAAGATGATTTAGAAATAGAAATTAAACTACATAAATCTTAAGTATTTCATATTTTAATTGCATATTATAGTGAATAAGGTCCCGTGCAGGGATATCCTTAACAGGAAACCAAGTGTTGATATATTTGTTGTTATTTATGAAATAAAAAAAAAAGGTTAAAAAGAGGTATCCCAATAATTTTGAAATACACATCAAACCTATCTTGAATCGCCTAATATATAGATATTAGAAGTCACATCCTGACCAGGAAAATTAAAAGGAAAATACGTTTGTAGGTTAGCAATGCGAACGGTCAAGAGAAGCATCATAGCCGATTTTTAAATCGATTTTTTTTTACATCAATGCTGGCATACTTTATATATACATCTTATAACGTACGTGGTCCGGGGCGGGGGATATCATAATCAGAACAACACCCATTTTTCCATATATATATACATATATATAGACATTTATAAACTACAATGTAGATCGTAGTGTATATGGTCATAATAGGAGTCGTTATAATTGAGAAATAGAGCCCCGACTTACAAGAATGATTTTTAAGCCGTATAGTCTATAATAATAGCACAAATGAAAATTATTTATGTAGTTATTTACAGTATAACCTGTCTAGACCGGCCCCATGTCTCGACCGGCTTTGATTTGTGGTCCCTGAATATTCCCTATATAATCATAGTAGTTAAACCCTGTATAAACCGGACCCTGTCCATTCCGAAAACAGGCATTGTTTCACAAAAGTTGGTATAGTTCCATGTAAAAACAACCTGTTTATTCCGGTGCCTAAAGTTTTCTCAACCAGCTACAATCTAAAGCAAACACATTCTAAACAAAAAAGCGCTAACCAATGTCGGATTGCCCTTCATTTGTGTTATATGCTGTATATTTTCATTTCTCTGTTGTTTATGTTGAAACACTTGTATCGTATGCAAAACACTACATTTTTGAATTTGGGGTGTATGCCGCACCTAGACCTGGGCCAAATCCCCGTACTAAGATTAACGTTAGGGACATTCTTTTTTCTCAACAACGGCTCGATGGACTTGATTCATATTTTCTGGAAAAAAGTCAAATTAAATCATCAACTGTAGATCTAGAAAATGAAAATGAAACAATTTAGAAAATTGTTCTTCTAAACGGTTTAACTTTACGAAGATCGATCACTCCACTATTCTAGTAAACCCATGTCCTACTATATTGGGAAAATAACTTATTTCACTTCAAATCTAGCCTTTATTGTGATGACGGCGATGATCGCAGGCGTTTTGTTTACGCCCGGTCCAGTGCCAAGGGCGTGCAACTCTATTTGTTTTTAATGTCTAATGAATAAGAATGTTAGCGGACTCTGCGACAAAGACGAATCCTTCCATCCATCATAAAATTATTTCATCCGTCTGATTCACAATCTATAAAAATATCAAAGGATAAAGTCTAAGAAATCATTTTCCTATTATATAGCCTATATTTACTCTACACATCCCTGATTTACTCCAATGGTCCTCACCGTTATGGTTTCATTCTTAGTGCATAATCCCGTTTACCATTTTTCAAAATTGCAGCGTAACCTGTATCTTGCATACCACTTTTTGAAATATGAGGAAACGGTTTCTTTAAACTATCATGAACATACACGAGTGTAGCACATGATATTTCCTCAAATCTTTTCTCTAAAATTCATTGTACTCAGGGACGTGTATACAATACGTAGCACCGTTGGTAAATATCACTTCTCCACAGCCTCTGGAGCTAGTATACATCGATTATTTAACCCTGGAAACATCTAAAGGAGGATATCAAAACATATTAGTGTTAACGAACCATTTCACCCGGTACGCACAAGTATATATAACCCGCAATCAGACTGCACGGACCACAGCGGGTCAAGTATTGTTCAATAACTTCTTTGTGCACTATGGATTTCCCGTCCGTCTACATTCGGATCAGGGAGCAAATTTTGTGGGGAAGTTAATCCATGAGTTGTGTCAGATTACTGGGATGACTACCATAGCTGTGGGTTTTTATACGCCCGTTAAAGACGGGAGTATTGTTAGGGGGCGTTGTCCGTCCGTCCGTCCGTCCGTCCGTCCGTCCGGCGTAAACTTTTGTTTGTCCGGCAATCTCCTCCTACATTTTTCGATCGATCTCTTTGAAAACTTGGTATACATTATAATCATGATATGAAGTTGTGTCTCCCTTAAAAGAATTTTGATTCGACAATTTTTCCAAAAGTTTATTGCTCTTTGTTCATTTCAGTATTTGATTTTTGTCCGGCAATCTCCTCCTACATTTTTCAACGGATCTCTTTGGAACATGGTATACATTATAATCATGATATGTTGTTGTGTTTCCTTGAAAATTATTTTGATTCAACAATTTTGCAAAAGTTATTGCCCTTTGTTCATTTCAGTATTCGATTATTTGTCCGGAGATCTTCTCCTACATTTTTTGACAGATTTCTTTGAAACCTAGTAGGCTAAATAATTATATATTGTTGTGTTTCATTGAAAAGAATTTTGATTCAACGATTTTTGCAAAAGTTATTGCCCTTTGTTCATTTCAGTATTTGATTTTTTTATCCAGAGATTTTTTCTACATTTTTATAGCATGTCACGTCGCGGTACTCTTGTTTTAAAAGTGGATTAATAAATGTATCCAAAGTATGCACAGGATCTTAGTTGTGATTGCGAACCCCGGTAACAATTACATACACTAAAAGAAATGTATACTTGATACAAATTTAAACATGAGATATGTCAGAGATGTACTGTATATAACACGTCTTACTAAAATTGTCCCGGTTAAGGGGCGACAACCTGTACACTTACACAATAAACACATGTGCAAAATGTAAAACTGTTGCGTGAATATATATGCATACATATGACCCATGTCCAAACCATAATTCAGTTGCAATAAATGAAGGGAAAATACTATAGGGGGTCGGAACTACTAAGGACAGACCGGGTAGGTGCCGGAACTACTAGGGAACGGAACGACTTGATTCGCTCAAAGTCAGAGAGACGTTTGTAATGTATTTTCTTGAACCATGCGTAGCCATGGTACTTAGGTAAATATTTGTTAGTGATGATTCACGGCTATCCCGACTGCAGAAAGGTAAAGAATTTGTTTAAGAGTCATCATAGATACGTTGAATTTGAAAATAGTCTAAGCATACATGACCCTCCTACGTAATGTAAAAAATGTCGAAATACAAGCTCTTTGTAGCTTATGTTGTATGTTTTGCAAAATCGACGGAAAACTAAATATTCTCGTATCTTGTAAGATTGAGATCTTCAGGCTAATGAAAGTTATATACAGCTTACAGATACTACAGAATTAGATAAGTTCTAAGTCCGTGTAGATACAAAGAACTTAGTGTAAGCTCCAACCAACTTCATCTTCATCTTGTTTCCTTCCTCCGTCGATACCTACGATTATGGAACTGTCAGTAATTCTGCTTATACGACATTGGGTAAAAAGTTTCTGAGTCCTTACAATGAAATATGCCAAATAAACGAATTGGAGCACAGCAATGTGATAATTTATGATGGCGTTGTTTATCAACAGCTAGGTCCACTACACTCTGCCAATTAAGCTTACATAAATATATATGTAACAGTAAATTTAAAGACTTTCATTTTAAGTTAGCTATATACCTACCTATAATTCATAGCTGTATTTTATAGCTATATTATCTAAGTTTCATATTTTATAGAAATAAACTAAAAGCATCACAGAATACTGTTTACTGTATTTTAAATAAATGTACATTTTTTTATTATTTTTAACTCATCTTCACATCTTTTTTTAATTATTACAGCAATAAAACCTTTTTTAATGCGGTTTTGTGTCATTTTCTTTTAAAAAGAAATTATAAGTAGGCCTACAAAAATGTATGTGAAAACAGCTCAAAGACCTATTTGAGACAGGTTGATACAGTTATTATATATTTAACTCAAACGATGTACATGTAGTGTACTGAACCTGATCAATCAATGTGTTCCACCAGGGCAGGCAGTTTGCAATTACTTATTTTACTCTACAATAAAAAATTCACAATTCATTGAACATCCCGATTCTTTGCCCAGTTTCTTTGCCAATCTATTTACAACACATGTTGTGCTAGTGTATACTTTATGATGTGATATCATAATGGTCCACAAAAATACAGAAATGTATTGGACAATTTTTAGCTCACCTGGTCCGACCATGGTAAGCTTATGCCGTACTGCAGCGTCCGTCGTCCGTCTTACGTCTGTCGTCCATCCGTCAACTTTTCCTATAAATTGCTACTAGTCAAGAACAACTGAGCAGATTTTAACCAAATTCGGTCAGAAGCATCCTTGGGGGAGGGGAACAAATTCTGTATAAATTGTGGGTCTGGCCCCCCTGTGGGCTGAGGGGAGGGGCCCAATAGGGGAAATATAGCAAATTCTTTAAAATCCTTTGTCTTCTGTAGGAATGAAAGGATTTGTCCCATATTTGGTCTGAAGCATCTTTTGATGAAGGGGAACCAATTTTGTATAAACCATGGGTCTGGCCCCCCAGGGGCCTGAAGGGAGGGGTCCAATAGGGGAAATTTGGTGTGGAGCATTTTTGGGTAAAGGGGAACCAATTTTGTATAAACGGAGGGTGTGGCCCCCCTGAGGGTTGAGGGGTGGGCCTAATAGGGGAAATATAGCAAATTTTTAAAAATCCTTCTTCTTCTGTAGGAATGAAAGGATTTTGTCCATATTTGGTGTGGAGCTTTTTGGGTAAAGAGGAATCAATTTTGTATAAACAGATTGTGTAGACCCCCTGAGGGTTGAGGGGTGGGCCTAAAAGGGGAAATTTAGCAAATTCTTAAAAATCCTTCTTCTGTAGGAATGAAAAGATTTGTTCCAGATTTGGTCAGAAGCATCCTTGGGTGAAGGGGAACCAATTTTGTATAAACCATGGGTTTGGCCCCTCAGGTGCCTGAAGGGCAGGGCCCAATAGGTAAAACATAGCAAATTTTCTTCGAAATTCTTCTTCTGTAGGAATGAAAGGATTTGTTGATATTTGGTCTGAAGCATTCTTGGGTAAAGGGGTGACAATTTTGTATAAACGGTGGGTCAGTGACCCCCCAGGGGCCTGAGGGGCGGGGCCCAATAAGGGAAACATAGCAAATTTTCTTCAAAATTCTTCTGTGGGAATGAAAGGATTTGGTCCATAATTGGTCATAAGCATTCTTGGGTGAAGGGGAAATAATTTTGTATAAACGGTGGGTGTGGCCCCCCTGAGGGCTGAGGGGCGGGGCCTAATAGGGGAAATATAGCAAATTCTTAAAAATCCTTCTTCTTCTATAGGAATGAAAGGATTTGTTCCATATTTGGTCTGAAGCATCCTTGGGGGAAGGGGAACCAATTTGTATAAACCGTGGGTCTGCCCCCACAGGGGCCTGAAAGGCTGGGCCCAATAGGGGAAACAGCAAATTTTCTTCAAAATCCTTCTTCTTCTGTAGGAATGAAAGGATTTGGTCCATATTTGGTATGGAGCATCCTTGGGTAAAGGGGAACCAAGTTTGTATAAACGGTGGTTGTGGCCCCCCCTGGGACCTGAAGGAGGGGCCCAATAGAGGAAATAGAGGTAAAACCTCTATAATCCTTCTTCTACCATAGGGATTAAGGGACCTTATCCTAATTTAGTCTGGAGCTATCTTGGGGAAAAAGGGACCTTATTTTGTATAAACAGTGAGTGTGGTCCCCCCTGGGGGCAGAAGGGACGGACCCAATAGGGGAAATATAGCAAATTCTTCAATGGCAGGATTTTGCCAAAATTTGGTATGAAGCACCCTTGGGTGAGGTGGAACCAATTTTGTATAAACAGTGTGTCTGAGCCCCCTAGAGGCAGAGAGGCAAGGCCCAATAGGGGAAATAGAGGTAAGACTTTTGAAATCTTTCTTCTACCATAGGGATTAAGGGATTGTATCCTTATTTAGTCTGGAGCATCCTTGGGTCAAGGGGACTCAATTTTGTATAAATGGTGGGTATGATCCCCTTAGGGCATAGGGGTGGGGATCTGTTTGAAGTTTGTTCTTGCTATATCTCAAGTACTTGATGGATCTTTCTGAAATTTCATATGTTCTTACAGCACCTACTGTGGAGTGCTATATCTTTACTTCATACCAATTATTTTAAACATATATTCAGGTGAGCGATACAGGCCCTCTGGGCCTCTTGTTTATAAATCATTATTTTTATACACCCGTCAAATTTGGCGGGAGTGTTATGGTATGACGTTTGTCCGGCAATCCCCTCCTACATTTTTCAACCAATCTCTTTGAAACTTGGTATACATTATAATCATGATACATTGTATGTTGTTGTGTTTCCTTGAAAAGAATTTTGATTCCACAATTTTTGCAAAAGTTATTGCCCTTTGCTCATTTCAGTATTTGATTTTCGTCCGGCAATCTCCTCCTACATTTTTCAACTGATCTCTTTGAAACTTGGTATACATTATAATCATGATACATTGTATGTTGTTGTGTTTCCTTGAAAAGAATTTTGATTCCACAATTTTTGCAAAAGTTATTGCCCTTTGCTCATTTCAGTATTTGATTTTCGTCCGGCAATCTCCTCCTACATTTTTCAACTGATCTCTTTGAAACTTAGTAGGCTAAATAATCATGATATGTAATTGTGTTTCCTTGAAAAGAACTTTGATTTGACGATGTTTGCAAAAGTTATTGCCTTCTGTTCATTTCAGTATTTTGATTTTTTGGCCAGAGATTTTCTCCTACATTTTTATAGCATGTCAGCTAACCACTCTTTGTATGATGCAGATCTTATTTCAATGTAAGAAAGTATATAACACTATATGGCATTCGCCGGACGTATATTGTTCCGCCCTAGCGGTACTCTTGTTTTCAATGAAAACGAAATGTTTTTGCATATTATCAAGTATTAATTACATTTATCATCTGAGGACCTGTTTCTGTGCCCTGCATGACCTTTTGCACATCACTGAACACATGCTACAATGCTTGCTTTCATTGTTTTACAGGAGGTAGACTGAAATGAAGACTTATAAATGGGTTGTGGAACGTCCTCTGCAAACACTGCTGTAATAGCTAAATCTAACGGTAACCTGAAAGATCAAATATCAACGAAAAATAATTCAGAAAAAAGTCCAGACAAGGAAAGAAATCAAACAGATCAAATTCCAACTTTGAATAATCAGGAATACGTTTCCACTGTTCCAGATCTAACAAATCAAGACAACGTTGGCACAGCTCAAAAATCCAATATGTATAGTCAAGTACAGGTTGAGGCGGACACTGAAGATCATGATAAAAGTAAAAATAGCCAGATTTCAAGTCAAGAGAACCAGGAGAAGGACAAAGTAAAAGATATACCCAAAGATGGGATGAATAAGTTAGCTGAGACAGAGAAAAGTACTGAAGAAGGGATAAACACAAAAGAAGCCAAGGACAAAGAAAACGGTAAAAAGGCACCACCGACAGAGGAAGAAATAAAGGAAAAAATCAACAAGACTTTTGAGGATGCCTTGCACACCTGGGAACCTTTATCTGACCAAAGCCGCTTGGTCGATGCAGAAACTGGGAAGTGCAGCGCAGCATTTAGAAGAATATCCAACAACACTTTCTTGTATCACTTTAGAATGAAAGCTTTTTCCTTGAGTATCCAGGATGAGTTTAAAAGTGATTATTATCGACTCATGGTGACTGAGAATGTAGTACCAAAATTTTGTGACATGGTGGTTTACATACTTAAGCATGGATATGAGGCGGAGGACGGCACGATGGACGCGGAAATGTTTAAACCATTGTCAAATACATTTGGATTACTGACTAATTTTACAGACAACAAAATAGAAAGGGCAGACATTGTAGCAGATCACCCCGAGTTCCTGATGTGTCTCGCTGAAAACTTTAAGAAGTGGATGAATCCTTATCTAGCAGGGGATCAAATAAGGGTAAGTTATAATATATTACCATCATCAATACTCCAGGGCTCATGCTCACTTTCACTCTTTGCACCCCTGGAATATGTCATAGCAATATTGAAATCAATTGAATAGCTATTTGATTGAATTCATGTAAGAAAACCTGACCAATTCCTAGGGATACCTTTCTTTTGAAGATTACAGAAGAGCGACACCCAACCCCAAAGCAAGTCAATTTTGCCGTTATGCCAACAACAGATTCTTTTGATGTACATCAAAGGCGAAAACTAGTCTTCTTGTCTTGTACACAAGGACTAGCGCATACTGAGCCTTTGATTTTGCAATGACATATTTTAGTGGTGCTGACAGCAAAAGTGATAGAATATCAACTCAACTTTCTAAATGGGTTAGGATTTGAAATATAGAGAATATTTTTGTTCTTGCATTATTCAAATCTTAGACTAGCTTAGTCTATCATAGTGGCCTAACCTAGGCATTGCTCAGGTCATGATTGCATCAAGTCACATTGTAAAGCTGGTCTTGGGTCTTCATTTCACCTCAAGGAGGAATCAGTTGTATAAAATATATGTCTGTAGTATGGTGGTGTTGATTGAAAACGAGCTTTACTGCATATATTCACTCCATTGTTAAAACTATTCATCAATATTTTACTACCTGTTTCAGGAAGACCAAATTAGAGTCGCAATCAGTAGCCCTTTGTCAATCTTCCACAACATAGCTATGCAAGACAGAAACATCAACAGAATGCGTAGCCTAGGATTTGTTGATTTGTTGACACCGTTTGTGAGCTCACCAAAAGAGAAAACCCGTCTGTCAGCTGTGGCGACATTGGCAGATATTGTAGATGAAAAACAAAGTGAGATAATTAGAACAGATGTAGGTGTAATGAAATTCATCAAGAACAGTTTGGCACGAGCAATGAAGGAAAAGTCTAGGAGGATATTTGGATGGAGCCCACAGGAACTAGCTAGAAGTATGTTAATACGTTACCATGTTTTTAATGTTTAACCCTTTCACCCCTATGTAACTTTAGTAGACTCTACCATGCATTGATATAATGAGTCCATTATGGTCTACTGTAGTGGTGAAAGGGTTAGGGTGCTGACACAACCTTCATTTTTATACCTGCCACGAATAAAAAAATTAATGAGAGGAGCATATATGATTGCTTTGTCGGTGCATAATACCAGATTCTGTCTGCAGTAAAATGCTTGCCTTCTAGATATCTTGTGAATCCAAGAACGCAGGGGAGGGGGATATATCTATGTAAGCATCCGCTCATCACTTTGTATTCATTTCCAGTGCATGTTAAGAATACCCCATTTATGAGTCCTTCTAAGAAACTTTATCAGCAGGATATACTACAATCTGTCTCAGACTGTTGCCAATACTTCATGTAACATGTATAATTATGATAAATTCATACATATATACACGCATCATGACTTTTCAAAGAAATAGCTAGAAAGTGTGTTGAAGAAGCTAAAAAGAATGTTCTCTGCTAATTTCTGTGGAAGTTCTGAAAATAGATAATTGATTATTTTGAACTTTAACTCATTCATGAATCTAATGAACTATTCCAACCTTTTAATTGGAAGAATTCAAATGTTTTTTCAGGGGTGAATGAGTTAATAAGTTTACTAGTCACTGAAGGTCCATCAAAAGATTTCGCAATGGTAACCACCTATGGACTGCTTTGTAATGTGATTGTACATGTATATGGTTTCAGCGGTGAGGAGAATCGCACGGAATGATGCTAACAAGCGGGCTCTGGTGGAGCAAGGGATACTTCCTCCTCTGGTCAAACTGGCAGAAAGTGAGGATATGGAGGAACAGAGAGGTATGTACCTGGTCAAACTGGCAGAGAGTGAGGATATGGAGGAACATAGAGGTATGTACCTGGTCAAACTGGCAGAGAGTCAGGATATGGAGGAACAGAGAGGGATGTACCTGGTCAAACTGGCAGAGAGTCAGGATATTGAGGAACAGAGAGGTATGTACCTGGTCAAACTGGCAGAGAGTCAGGATATGGAGGAACAGAGAGGGATGTACCTGGTCAAGCTGCCAGAGAGTGAGGATATGGAGGAACAGAGAGGTAGGTACCTGGTCAAACTGGCAGAGAGTGAGGATATGGAGGAACAGAGAGGTAGGTACCTGGTCAAACTGGCAGAGAGTGAGGCTATGGAGGAACAGAGAGGTATGTACCTGGTCTAACTGGCAGAGAGTGAGGATATGGAGGAACATAGAGGTATGTACCTGGTCAAACTGGCAGAGAGTTAGGATATGGAGGAACAGAGAGGTATGTACCTGGTCAAACTGGCACAGAGCGAGGATATGGAGGAACAGAGAGGTATGTACCTGGTCTAACTGGCAGAGAGTGAGGATATGGAGGAACAGAGAGGTAGGTACCTGGTCAAACTGGCAGAGAGTGAGGCTATGGAGGAACAGAGAGGTATGTACCTGGTCAAACTGGCAGAGAGTCAGGATATTGAGGAACAGAGAGGTATGTACCTGGTCAAACTGGCAGAGAGAGAGGATATGGAGGAACAGAGAGGTATGTACCTGGCCAAACTGGCAGAAAGTGAGGATATGGAGGAACAGAGAGGTATTACCTGGTCAAACTGGCAGAGAGTGAGGATATGGAGGAACAGAGAGGTATGTACCTGCAAAACCTTGTTAAACTGCCATCATTTGTTTAGATGCATTTTTGCAGTATAAAGGGGTTTGGCATTTAATTGATGGAAATACATGCAGGAATTCTTAAGAAAACAAGAAGAAAAATGGACATTGGAATATGTTGGTTGTAAATTAAGTGGTATATGAAACATGGGGAATTACATTGAGGTTATACTGTACCAGTAAAATCTATCCTATCATCAAAGATGTTGATACCTTAAATTAGCCAGGAGCTCTTTAACAATTGTGTAGCCATTGGTAGTCACAATTTGAACTCTGATAAACTTTAACTTCTGATCTTATTTATATTAAAAAAAAAGTTACTGTATAGCAACCATATTATGTAGAGGTGATATTTTTGCAGCATGTGATTATCTTTAACCCAGAAAATGTCTATTTTTTGCTAAAATTATGTCTAAGCACTGCGCAAAGTCTCAATATTGGGATTATTTTTTCGTAAAATGAATGCTGAGTTTGTTTTAAATGCGAACAGGAATTCAAAACTTATTTTGCAAGCCTTGGAAAATGACATGCATGCAGGCACACAGATGAACAGGTAACATGTTTACCCATTCTGCACCTCAGTGGAACCCCATATTACCTGTCCCTCTGACTGACTGCCGTTTTAGAGTGCTACATGTATTTGGCAAAATACAATTTCAATATTTTATGACAGCTGTCTTTACTGACTCAACACATTGGGGCTTCAAGAGTTGTTTTCAGCGGTTTAGAATCAAGACACAGGCATTTGCATTTTGTAAGGAAGCATTTATCCATTGTTTGAAGGTTGAGAAAACCTATCATTGTTATAGGGAAAATAATGTATTCAATGTCTCACAAGTTGGAATGAAGACATCTCCAGTAGTAATGGCAGAGGATGGAAAGTCATGTGAGTTGATATTATGATGTACAGGTAATAGTAACCCTTTCAACCCTATGTATCTTTAGTAGACTCTACCATGCATTGATCTAGATAAGTACAGTATGGTCCTTAGTGGTAAACAGGTTAATTCATTGTGGAATAGGTCAGATTTCTATGAATTTCTCTCTTTTTTTCACATAGAGGCTGTTGGTGCAATGTGGACTTTGTCGTTTGACAAGGAAAACCAGAAAGACATGATTTTAGACACTGAATGTAAACCGGTGGATACATTCATACGCCTGAAGAACTCTCCTGATAAAGAAGTGAGAAAAACCTGCAATGGTGCCCTGTGGACTATGCGAGAAAATTTGGCCCAGTCTGAGAACTACAAAGATATACGTAAGTAATGTACACATGTGTATTTTGTCCAGTCTGAGAACTACAAAGATATAGGTACTAATGTACACATGGCCAAGTCTGAGAACTACAAAGATATAGGTACTAATATATATACACATGGCCCAGTCTGAGAACTACAAAGATATAGGTACTAATGTACACATGGCCCAGTCTGAGAATTACAAAGATATAGGTACTAATGTACACATGGCCCAGTCTGAGAATTACAAAGATATAGGTACTAATGTACACATGGCCCAGTCTGAGAATTACAAAGATATAGGTACTAATGTACACATGGCCCAGTCTGAGAATTACAAAGATATAGGTACTAATGTACACATGGCCCAGTCTGAGAATTACAAAGATATAGGTACTAATGTACACATGGCCCAGTCTGAGAATTACAAAGATATAGGTACTAATGTACACATGGCCCAGTCTGAGAATTACAAAGATATAGGTACTAATGTACACATGGCCCAGTCTGAGAATTACAAAGATATAGGTACTAATGTACACATGGCCCAGTCTGAGAATTACAAAGATATAGGTACTAATGTACACATGGCCCAGTCTGAGAACTACAAAGATATAGGTACTAATGTACACATGGCCCAGTCTGAGAACTACAAAGATATAGGTACTAATGTACACATGGCCCAGTCTGAGAACTACAAAGATATAGGTACTAATGTACACATGGCCCAGTCTGAGAACTACAAAGATATAGGTACTAATGTACACATGGCCCAGTCTGAGAACTACAAAGATATAGGTACTAATGTACACATGGCCCAGTCTGAGAACTACAAAGATATAGGTACTAATGTACACATGGCCCAGTCTGAGAACTACAAAGATATAGGTACTAATGTACACATGGCCCAGTCTGAGAACTACAAAGATATAGGTACTAATGTACACATGGCCCAGTCTGAGAACTACAAAGATATAGGTACTAATGTACACATGGCCCAGTCTGAGAACTACAAAGATATAGGTACTAATGTACACATGGCCCAGTCTGAGAACTACAAAGATATAGGTACTAATGTACACATGGCCCAGTCTGAGAACTACAAAGATATAGGTACTAATGTACACATGGCCCAGTCTGAGAACTACAAAGATATAGGTACTAATGTACACATGGCCCAGTCTGAGAACTACAAAGATATAGGTACTAATGTACACATGGCCCAGTCTGAGAACTACAAAGATATAGGTACTAATGTACACATGGCCCAGTCTGAGAACTACAAAGATATAGGTACTAATGTACACATGGCCCAGTCTGAGAACTACAAAGATATAGGTACTAATGTACACATGGCCCAGTCTGAGAACTACAAAGATATAGGTACTAATGTACACATGGCCCAGTCTGAGAACTACAAAGATATAGGTACTAATGTACACATGGCCCAGTCTGAGAACTACAAAGATATAGGTACTAATGTACACATGGCCCAGTCTGAGAACTACAAAGATATAGGTACTAATGTACACATGGCCCAGTCTGAGAACTACAAAGATATAGGTACTAATGTACACATGGCCCAGTCTGAGAACTACAAAGATATAGGTACTAATGTACACATGGCCCAGTCTGAGAACTACAAAGATATAGGTACTAATGTACACATGGCCCAGTCTGAGAACTACAAAGATATAGGTACTAATGTACACATGGCCCAGTCTGAGAACTACAAAGATATAGGTACTAATATACACATGGCCCAGTCTGAGAACTACAAAGATATAGGTACTAATGTACACATGGCCCAGTTCTCTCCTTTAAATGTTATATGCACATCACTCAATTTGCTTGCTTCATTTCCCAAAATGACCAGAACTGTGTGAAATCTTAGAGGACAATAGTAAAATATTTCAGGACTATAGTCCTGTAAAGTTGTTGCTTGAAAAGTTGATGTCTGAACCTGTCTGTATCATTTCATAGGATTACCTCCCCTAATAAATTTCACTTCTATATTTTGAAATTACAAAGTGACATGTATATATAGCTATTGTGTCTTTACCAATAGCCGATTCTGTGTCCTACAGGTGAAAGATATACATCTCCCCAGCCAAGTCCAGCTCATGTCGCTACAGAACGCCGACAAGAAGTCAAATCTGAAGGCCACATAATGATCAGCTACCAGTGGGCTAACCAAGCTATCTTAAAGAAGATTCGGGATAATCTCCGTGCCAACGGATTTAAAGTATGGATGGACATTGACGACATGGAAGGATCAACACTTGATGCAATGGCGCGAGCTGTAGAAAATGCGGATGTTGTGCTTGTCTGTTACTCTCAAAAGTACAAAGACAGTGATAACTGTAGAGCTGGTAGGTTTGTTGTGATACTCTCAAAAGTACAAAGACAGTGATAACTGCATGTAGAGCTAGAAGGTTTATTGTGTTACTCTCAAAAGTACAAAGACATTTTGACAACCTTTTAAAGCTTGTCCACACTGTTGGAATTACTTCTTTGCCCCATATATATATATATACATATACTAGAATGTATTACCTTTTCATTATCTGCATGGTCGATACCTGGTATTTGAAAAGTGATGATTGATATTGGAAGCGCTAATTATCACAGATCTACATTTTTCTGATTTTTTTAAATTGTTCATGTCTATAACAACGTACACTGAAGTGTAAATCTTGCTAGTACTTTGGCCCACCTTAGGGCTGATATCATAAACAAAGGACACATAATGGAATATTAGAAATTTACACAAATAATAGTACATATCGGATTTGGCGAATTCTTGTGACCATCAAGCAATGAATGGCCCAGGAGCTATTTTGTTGTGCTTTGAAGAGTAAATATACAGTCATTAGAACCTGAGTATGTTTAACAATTAAGTTATTCAGACATGTACTTAAATTATTGCAGAGGCTGAGTATGCTTTTCAAAAGAAGAAGAAAGTGATTCCACTAAAAATGGAGCTCAACTACATACCGGATGGCTGGCTGGGTTTCATATGTGGTGCCAAGCTTTTCTTTGATTTCGGAGGAAAGTATTCATTTGAGTCCCGTGTTGAAGGTCTAGTGAAAGAACTTTGGTCGAAGATGAGCAAGGATGTTGTTGACGGAGTTGTCGTTCCTGAATCAGCCACTGTTGTGTACAGTGCTCCTGTAAGTGTATACATACTAATTACGTTGTTTTATATATATTTAGTATACATGTATATTACTTATTAAAAGCCACCGGGTTTTTTTATAATTGATTTTCTTGCTTTCGTTCATGTGAACTCAACACAGAATCTAGTGTCCCTGCCTTAGTTCCGCTGACCTTGTGATCTAGTGTCCCTGCCTTAGTTCCACTGACCTTGCGATCTATTGTCCCTGCCTTAGTTCCGCTGACCTTGTGATCTATTGTCCCTGCCTTAGTTCCGCTGACCTTGTGATCTAGTGTCCCTGCCTTAGTTCCACTGACCTTGCGATCTATTGTCCCTGCCTTAGTTCCGCTGACCTTGTGCTGATCCCTACAGACCCTTCCTTCTTCTGACCTCGTGTCCCTAATCTTTCGTCTTGTGTCATGTGATATATGACACTTTGACCTTTTTAATTTTCTCACCAGATTTCCATGAATTTGATGTGGTCTGTATTTTTGTCTCATTTTTGCATTTAAACTTCCAGGTCTGAACAAAAATATGTTTCTGGTTTAAACAATATTTATTTCATTCGTCATATAAAATGAGTACCCAGGTTAATAGGAATATATTGATAGGATCTGGCAACAAGATTTTGTCCCTGCTTGCCTAAAGACCCTTCTGATCCATGTCTTTGCAAATTTATTACCTTATGACCTCTATCCTTGCTTGTATATCCGACCCTCTTATCCATTATTTGTATATATTACTTTATAATTATATAACCTTTATCCTTACCTTGCTTGTCTACAACTCCCTATTCCTTTACTTTGTAAATGTATTACCTTATAACCTTTATCCTTACCTTGCTTGTCTACAGACCCCCTATTCCTTTACTTTGTTTTTATGTATTACCTTATTACCTTTATCCTTACCTTTAAATCCATGACCTCTTTAACATCTTTCCTTATAATTTTGATCCTTATTTGTGGTTGTCTATGACCTTTTTATCCATGACCTTACCCTTTCACCACTGTAGATTATAATAGACTCGCTAAGATAATGTTTGGTACTGGTAACTAGGGGTGAAAGGGTTAATGACCTTCTGATTTAATGAACACTTCAGGTTGCCAAGGAGAATGTAGCGGAGCCTGTGTATAGTGCACCACCCCATGGTGGTGTCAGTCATGTCACCATGACAACAGTGGAGTTGGTGAAAAAGTGGAAGGACCAAGATGTGGACAAATGGATGGCAAAGCACAGTTTATCTACGTATGTATAGAGTTTGTGCCTCAGTCTGCTGCTCATTAGTGTATTCATACAAAAGATACAGTTGTGGGATCGCACAACATTACACGACGTGTGGTGTGCAGTGCACGTAGAAAACCTGTGCGATAATAGCATGCGTACAAAGTTATCGCACCATTGTTTGACGGGTACTGTGGTTGATATATATTCAGGAATGGGCTGTGACATATCCACTGTATTTTTGTGTTTTTCTGTGCAGGTGTTAATTTCATTTTGTTTACTCTGTTGTAATTTATAAATAACATCTTACAATAACAATTGTTATAACACTGTCTTACCGATGTGGATTAAAGCTGCTTCCTGTCAAGTCATGTGACCAGTGATCATGATGTGTGGTATAGTATCGTATATCGTCTACATTTTCAGCTGACAGTACCACTGTTTGCTATGTTAAGCTAAAAAAATATGAAGAAAGATGTGAAGATAGTTTTCTTTTTGACACAATGCATTTTCTAATGTATTTTAAAGGGGGGGGGGGACAGCATTAATTCTGAAAGCATATATGTATTTTACTTCAACAAATTAGATTCAAGATTGTAAATGATAGGATCGAACAACAGGCTATGCTTATATCAGTTCTCTCCTGAAATATGTAAGCCTTAGAAATTTCAGAATACCTTTTAATTACCTTTCTGCAACATGTATGTGGATAATGACTTATCAAACTGGACGTAGGACACCTTATTAAACTCACATAACTTTATCAGCTGAATGACATTTGCTATTTTACAGGCAACAGGTGAAGAAGATGACAGGTGTGGAAGTTGCCTTTCTTATGTTACTGAAGACAGAGGTAAGTCCTGAAGGAAAAGATTCTCCCTGGTACTGTGTTTTATGTATTTTTATACTCCTACATTTGTGTTGGTCCATACATAGTACGAAAACTGTTTTGGTTATGTTTCCCCTTCAAATGAAATTAATTATCTTATAGGAGACATTAGTATTGGTTCTTCTTCTTGTTTTTCTACTGATAACATTTTGTCTTGGCAGTATCAACTTTTAGGATAAATATTGATGAAACATGGAGTACCATAACACACAAAAGGTGTGCAATGCAGTGTTAGTAGAGCACATTGACCTTGACATCAAGGGCAAAGGTTGAATAAGTGCAAAATTTTTGATTGTCTAGGCTGTAAATTTAAAACTATTAAAAATAACTTGATAAAACTTTTTTCTGCATCGTCCACAGAAAATGTACATTGTACTGTTATTTTGTCAGCATGACCTTCACTTTAAGGTCACTATAAATAGAAGATATCAGGATGAAACATGGTCAAAGGTCAAATATTTCCTAAACATATGTATATGGCTTAGAATTGGAGAAATATGATTTGTTTGGTAAAGCAAGCTCCATTATGGGTAGTTTAATAATAGAAGTTCAACAATCTTCAAAACTTGTCATGTTTATATCAAATGTAGGTCACTGTGACCTATAATTTCTGCTTCACTGATTTTGGTTAGACTTTGTGTTTGGCTCCATTTCCATTAAAGTGAGAATAGGGCATGAGCCTGTTCTATAAACAGTTGCTGGCTCTATACAGTAAATATATTATGATATGAGCCTGTTCTATATACAGTTGCTGGCTCTATACAGTAAATATATTATGATATGAGCCTGTTCTATATACAGTTTCTGGCTCTATACAGTAAATATATTATGATATGAGCCTGTTCTATATACAGTTTCTGGCTCTATACAGTAAATATATTATGATATGAGCCTGTTCTATATACAGTTTCTGGCTCTATACAGTAAATATATTATGATATGAGCCTGTTCTATATACAGTTTCTGGCTCTATACTGTAAATATATTATGATATGAGCCTGTTCTATATACAGTTTCTGGCTCTATACTGTAAATATATTATGATATGAGCCTGTTCTATATACAGTTTCTGGCTCTATACAGTAAATATATTATGATATGAGCCTGTTCTATATACAGTTTCTGGCTCTATACTGTAAATATATTATGATATGAGCCTGTTCTATATACAGTTTCTGGCTCTATACTGTAAATATATTATGATATGAGCCTGTTCTATATACAGTTTCTGGCTCTATACTGTAAATATATTATGATATGAGCCTGTTCTATATACAGTTTCTGGCTCTATACTGTAAATATATTATGATATGAGCCTGTTCTATATACAGTTTCTGGCTCTATACTGTAAATATATTATGATATGAGCCTGTTCTATATACAGTTTCTGGCTCTATACTGTAAATATATTATGATATGAGCCTGTTCTATATACAGTTTCTGGCTCTATACTGTAAATATATTATGATATGAGCCTGTTCTATATACAGTTTCTGGCTCTATACTGTAAATATATTATGATATGAGCCTGTTCTATATACAGTTTCTGGCTCTATACTGTAAATATATTATGATATGAGCCTGTTCTATATACAGTTTCTGGCTCTATACAGTAAATATATTATGATATGAGCCTGTTCTATAAACAGTTTCTGGCTCTATACTGTAAATATATTATGATATGAAATGGGTGAAGACTCTTTGATGTCTGTAATTTTACATCATGGAAAAAGATGAGGTGCAAATAGTTTCAAAAATTCTGACTTTTTATTTATAAATGTAAGGATCACCCATCTTACCTCCCTTTGTCAGTAGTCCTACAATATATGCTGTTGAATTGTGTCCCTAAGTTTGTTTCCAATTTCTTCATCTCACATTTTGATCAGCAAAGGAAAATATATATTTTTGATTAATATATTACCTGTTCTGGTTTATCATGAAATTAAAACAGTGCATTAACCTTGGCAAAGGGTTTAAAACTGTGTAAGAATTTGTTTTTTTCATTTCAGTCACCAGATTTTTTCTATAAGGTTCTTACAGACACACTGAAGATCACAAATCTCCTTACCATTGCACAATTACGGTTTGCTTTGGACGACGCAAAACTGTAAACAGTTTACGAACAAGCTGAAGGTGGGCAAACTATGTTTACATGGCCAGAAGTCTGTATGCCAGAGTAAGACCTAGTATATATACGTTTTCTATTATTTTCATTTGAGAATGTAACAGGTATGACAAAAAGTGGAGATGGCCCATATTTCTATTAAAAAAGATTCTTAAGGGCAATTTTGGGTGTGAAGATAAAAATTGTGAATAACAAAAGATTGCGTAGAACATCATACTTCAACTCAAAAATTCATTAAACTTACGGGAAAACAAGAAAATACCATAAGTGTTACTGATTTAATATTGCTTGATATTATTATTATTGTCTCTTTGATCTGTTTGCTCTTAAGTAATCATTTTAAAACCAAATTTATATTTCACTTTTAACAGTTCACATATATTTGTGTCTTTAATTCATTCTTGGGTATGTACTGTGAACATAACTTATGTAGAAAATGGGAGGAAATCTGTATATTTTACAAAATAAATGCATATTGTAAGAAAATGCACTAATGTTTTCATAGTATGAGTGAATCATGTATACATATATATACACATATATTTCAAACTCAAGTACTTGATTACTTGAAGTGGCCTGACTTCACAGTTTTAACATGTACAGAACAAAATAACACAAAGACAACACAGTATTCACCAAGGTCTCTATCATCCGATAAATTATTTCAATCAAACAGTTAAATCAATTTATGCAAGCTTGTATACGTTACAAAAACATTTCTTAATGTGTTACTTTTCAAATATAATAGGGAAAATGGTGGTCTGGTGGCTCAGTGGATTAGCACACGTACTTGCCTTTCATCAAGACGACTTGGGTTCGATTCCCTGATCGGACGTGATAGGGTACCAGTATGTGGTCAACTGCTGACTATGTGGGTTTTTTCTTGGTTCTCAGACGTGATAGGGTACCAGTATGTGGTCAACTGCTGACTATGTGGGTTTTCTCCTGGTTCTCAGACGTGATAGGGTACCAGTATGTGGTCAACTGCTGACTATGTGGGTTTTCTCTTGGTTCTCAGACGTGATAGGGTACCAGTATGTGGTCAACTGCCAACTTAACGTGGGTTTTCTGCAGGTTCTCAGACGTGATAGGGTACAAGTATGTGGTCAACCGCTGACTATGTGGGTTTTCTCCGGAATCTCAGACGTGATAGCGTACCAGTATTGTGGTCAACTGCCGACTACTTGGATTTTCTCCGGGTTCTCAGATACAATCCCCTTGTGTTGTACCAAATGGACCAACAAGAGTAATTAATATAAGTTAATAAAACTTGTTGTAAAATAAATGAAGTTTAAAAGTTTACAAGGTCATCTCATAATCAGGTGAGACTCGTCCCGTCATTGACGTACATCACATAACGTAGTAAATATGATAATTATTTTAGTTATCTGATATCCGAACAGTCAATATCAACAACAATCAACTGACAAATGTACATGTATCATACAGACATCTACTTTGCAAAATTGTTAGATTTACTGGTTTTGATCAATAATATGGTTGTCCAAAATTACAAATATTCATATACATGTAGTGCTCTTTTTGGAAAAGATTTTTTTTCCACCTTGGCTATACAAGGCAAATTTCATCATAATATGACATTTGAAAACAGTTTCCCACATTTCTCTGTCTTTGCCAATATTTGAATTACTGTATGCTCCTATTTCATAATACTCCATATTATTTATTTATTTTGTAACCGTTAGGTCATATGCAGAATCTTATAATTATTGGTAAAAGTCTTATGTGCTCAAATCTACGTTGAAAATATGTTAACGCATTCTACATTTTTTGTAAAATGTTCCTAGATTGAACTCTCTGAAATGATTCATTGCTTGACTATAGAATGTTGGCATCAGATCCGCGCTATCGCAAGGAGGCAAATATACCAACATACTATTCTCTGGCACACATACACACATGTACGCATATATACACAGCACATATATATATATATATGGAGGCACAGGATATTGGGTGTTGACATATCATCGTCACGCACGTGTACTATTGTTTACACGGTGTTACTATAATTTACACTACGGTAATGGAATGCCCGATACGCAATACGGATATGACGACATGAAAATATGACAAGAAAAACATGTGTATTTACTATTACGAAAGGTGGGAAGTCCTTAAACCCCTATACACTCAATCATCACTGGCATTTAATTTATATTAACTTGTATTATATTTACGCTGTCATGTTTCATGTTAATAGGTTTATCGTGATAATGCTTATGATAACACTGGTGTTATGGCTGGCCCATGGTAAAAAAAATGATGGTATATGTAAATGTATGTATGGTTGTTTTAATGAGTTAGGATTGCTAGTGAGAGATTTGTTGAATAAGGGCAGGTTACTGCCCGTATTTACATATAATGTAACGAAAATAAGCATATTTTTTTTTTATATTTGGGATTTCTAAGGTGAATTTCAAAAAGCTGGTAATGTATCGAAAACAAACATTTTTCATAGATATTGGGGATCTCTTAGGGGACTGTTATATAGCTATATAGCCTGTAACGAAAAACAAACATTATTTATAGATATTGGGGATCTCTAAGGGGACTGTTATATAGCCTGTAACGTAAAACAAACCTTATTTTATATATCGGGGACTTCTACAGAACAGACTTACACCATGTACGATGTAGTTTCTATAATTCATATACTGTAAAAGTGTTCTTTTTTTGTGGAAATGCTTACAATTTGGCATTTAGTAAATTAGCGCGAAAATATTAACAGGCGAATATTTATCTATAGATTATAGATACATAGAATATACATATATCAGAGCCATTGACAACTTGAGAGTTTCTAAATCTGAGATCAGCTTAAAGGATAATAATGTTAACGTGCGGAGGAATCCTGTTTTCTATCTTGTATAGTGTTAGGCATGTACATTTTTCACTATATTATCTGTTTTATCTTTTACCTATATGCCTGGTATTTTTTTAATTTCTATAATTCTTATATACTTTACATAGATATATTTACATTAAACTTTATTGATTTAAAACGAATGTTCCGAATTTTTATGCTGATGAGGAATTTGTTTTTTACAATGCGTGATTTCATGTATGTATCACCGGTCGATTTGTGTGTTACCACTAGGGTCTGACTTGTAATTATTACTTGGGACCCTAGGTAACTTGGGAACTTTGGGTTACAAATGATGACACATTATGTCAGTTCCACTTCCTTTATTCAAGTCCAACTTCATATCTTATACATGGAAACTTAATTGTTCAATCCATTCCCTTCTGTTTCCATCTTCCATTCTTTCTCCTTTAGTTCTCTTCAGTCTCACTTCCCAAGATCTCTCTGTAATTCTATATCTGTCTATCTCTGACTCTGTCCTTGGACTCTCTCCTTCAGCTCTCTCCTTCTACTCTCTCCTTCAGCTCTCTCCTTCTACCCTGTCAACCTTAGATCTCTACCTATTATAAAGACAATGTAACACTACTTCTACTTAACTAAATCTTCTAATTCTATTGGCTAATTCCATCCCTAGGAGGCGGGGCTACATTTCTCTTTTAGAAGTCTTTTGATGACCATTTCCCTGTCTAAGGACCACGATTAACTTATCAATGCATTATACTAAATGGACCTTACATCCACACACCATTGTCCTTCAACCCTTCACACAGACATTCCCACACACTCCATTCCCTTTGAGTTCCTACCACCATGTGTGTCCTGGTCATCTCCTTTGTTAACAATTACAATCTCTTTTTAATTGCCTTCTTCTTACTCTTCTGATCTTACTCACTACCATTTTTCATCTGTCATATATAGAAATTAGAATACTCAAAAAGTTGTTTTTATACATATATATGAATTTAGTTCATTATCTCTATGACTTAAGTCTTTATTTTATATCATTAATTTTTAAAACTAATTTATGCATTTATTAGTACACATGTACTAATTATTTGTTTATTTTTGGCATACTGTATTTATTTCCATTTTTGAAGGTGCACGTGTGTGTTATGTTCAATGTTTTATTTATGGCTACAAGAAAGCTTGTTCTAACAAGAGTGTTTTCCTGAGATATCATGACCAGTGAATTTAAAGACATCTCCGTTTTATGTGTTGTTCCAATCACACAAAAATGAGGAACCATGTAATGTTAGACCATTTTAATATTCCCAGCGATAGAAAAAGTGTTTTGCATGAACTTTTCTTCGCATACTATATTCACAAGCTCTGATAAGGTTAGCCAGATTTCCTCTGGCCCTGACTCCAGACTTAGACATTTTGACAGATAGATGTCTGGTGTGGGTTCCTCTGGCCCGGACACCAGACCTAGACATTTGACAGATAGATGTCTGGTGTGGGTTCCTCTGGCCCTGACACAAGACATAGACATTTTGAAAGATAGATGTCTGGTGTGGGTTCCTCTGGCCCGGACACAAGACATAGACATTTTGAAAGATAGATGTCCAGTGTGGGTTCCTCTGGCCCGGACACCAGACCTAGACATTTTGAAAGATACATGTCTGGTGTGGGTTCCTCTGGCCCTGACACAAGACATAGACATTTTGAAAGATAGATGTCTGGTGTGGGTTCCTCTGGCCCGGACACCAGACCTAGACATTTTGAAAGATAGATGTCCAGTGTGGGTTCCTCTGGCCCGGACACCAGACAAAGACATTTGACAGATAGATGTCTGGTGTGGGTTCCTCTGGCCCGGACACCAGACATAGACATTTGACAGATAGATGTCCAGTGTGGGTTCCTCTGGCCCGGACACCAGACAAAGACATTTGACAGATAGATGTCTGGTGTGGGTTCCTCTGGCCCGGACACCAGACATAGACATTTGACAGATAGATGTCCAGTGTGGGTTCCTCTGGCCCGGACACCAGACAAAGACATTTGACAGATAGATGTCTGGTGTGGGTTCCTCTGGCCCGGACACCAGACATAGACATTTGACAGATAGATGTCCAGTGTGGGTTCCTCTGGCCCGGACACCAGACAAAGACATTTGACAGATAGATGTCTGGTGTGGGTTCCTCTGGCCCTGACACCAGACATAGACATTTGACAGATAGATGTCCAGTGTGGGTTCCTCTGGCCCGGACACCAGACAAAGACATTTGACAGATAGATGTCTGGTGTGGGTTCCTCTGGCCCTGACACCAGACATAGACATTTGACAGATAGATGTCCAGTGTGGGTTCCTCTGGCCCGGACACCAGACAAAGACATTTGACAGATAGATGTCTGGTGTGGGTTCCTCTGGCCCGGACACCAGACATAGACATTTGACAGATAGATGTCCAGTGTGGGTTCCTCTGGCCCGGACACCAGACAAAGACATTTGACAGATAGATGTCTGGTGTGGGTTCCTCTGGCCCTGACACCAGACATAGACATTTGACAGATAGATGTCCAGTGTGGGTTCCTCTGGCCCGGACACCAGACAAAGACATTTGACAGATAGATGTCTGGTGTGGGTTCCTCTGGCCCTGACACCAGACATAGACATTTGACAGATAGATGTCCAGTGTGGGTTCCTCTGGCCCGGACACCAGACAAAGACATTTGACAGATAGATGTCTGGTGTGGGTTCCTCTGGCCCTGACACCAGACATAGACATTTGACAGATAGATGTCCAGTGTGGGTTCCTCTGGCCCGGACACCAGACAAAGACATTTGACAGATAGATGTCTGGTGTGGGTTCCTCTGGCCCTGACACCAGACATAGACATTTGACAGATAGATGTCCAGTGTGGGTTCCTCTGGCCCGGACACCAGACAAAGACATTTGACAGATAGATGTCTGGTGTGGGTTCCTCTGGCCCTGACACCAGACATAGACATTTGACAGATAGATGTCCAGTGTGGGTTCCTCTGGCCCGGACACCAGACAAAGACATTTGACAGATAGATGTCTGGTGTGGGTTCCTCTGGCCCTGACACCAGACATAGACATTTGACAGATAGATGTCCAGTGTGGGTTCCTCTGGCCCGGACACCAGACAAAGACATTTGACTGATAGATGTCTGGTGTGGGTTCCTCTGGCTGGGACACCAGACAAAGACATTTGACAGATAGATGTCCAGTGTGGGTTCCTCTGGCCCGGACACCAGACATAGACATTTGCCAGATAGTTGTCCAGTGTGGGTTCCTCTGGCCCGGACACCAGACAAAGACATTTGACAGATAGATGTCCAGTGTGGGTTCCTCAGGCCCGGACACCAGACATAGACATTTTGACAGATAGATGTCTGGTGTGGGTTCCTCTGGCCCGGACACCAGACATAGACATTTTGACAGATAGATGTCTGGTGTGGGTTCCTCTGGCCCTGACTCCAGACTTAGACATTTTGACAAATAGATGTCTGGTGTGGGTTCCTCTGGCCCGGACACCAGACAAAGACATTTGACAGATATATGTCTGGTGTGGGTTCCTCTGGCCCTGACTCCAGACCTAGACATTTTGACAGATAGATACCTGGTGTGGGTTCCTCTGGCCCAGACACCAGACAAAGACATTTGACAGATAGATGTCTGGTGTGGATTCCTCTGGCCCTGACAACAGACTTAGACATTTGACAGATAGATGTCTGGTGTGGGTTCCTCTGGCCCAGACACCAGACAAAGACATTTGACAGATGTCTGGTGTGGGTTCCTCAGGCCCTGACACCAGACCTAGACATTTGACAGATAGATGTCCAGTGTGGGTTCCTCTGGCCCGGACACCAGACAAAGACATTTGACAGATAGATGTCCAGTGTGGGTTTCTCTGGCCCTGACACCAGACCTAGACATTTGACAGATAGATGTCCAGTGTGGGTTCCTCTGGCCCGGACACCAGACAAAGACATTTGACAGATAGATGTCTGGTGTGGGTTCCTCTGGCCCTGACACCAGACATAGACATTTGACAGATAGATGTCCAGTGTGGGTTCCTCTGGCCCGGACACCAGACAAAGACATTTGACAGATAGATGTCTGGTGTGGGTTCCTCTGGCCCTGACACCAGACATAGACATTTGACAGATAGATGTCCAGTGTGGGTTCCTCTGGCCCGGACACCAGACAAAGACATTTGACAGATAGATGTCTGGTGTGGGTTCCTCTGGCCCTGACACCAGACATAGACATTTGACAGATAGATGTCCAGTGTGGGTTCCTCTGGCCCGGACACCAGACAAAGACATTTGACAGATAGATGTCTGGTGTGGGTTCCTCTGGCCCTGACACCAGACCTAGACATTTGACAGATAGATGTCCAGTGTGGGTTCCTCTGGCCCGGACACCAGACAAAGACATTTGACAGATAGATGTCTGGTGTGGGTTCCTCTGGCCCTGACACCAGACCTAGACATTTGACAGATAGATGTCCAGTGTGGGTTCCTCTGGCCCGGACACCAGACAAAGACATTTGACAGATAGATGTCTGGTGTGGGTTTCTCTGGCCCTGACACCAGACCTAGACATTTGACAGATAGATGTCCAGTGTGGGTTCCTCTGGCCCTGACACCAGACATAGACATTTTGACAGATAGATGTCTGGTGTGGGTTCCTCTGGCCCTGACTCCAGACTTAGACATTTTGACAGATAAATGTCTGGTATGTATTCCTTAAGTGAACACAGTGCAGTGGGACAGGGATCCATAAATGCGCAAAACGTTACAATGATAAAAGTGTATTATTGAATGTACACGTTTTTGAGAAACATTCTCGCTATACCTACATGTTTGAACTTGCAGTCGTTTCTCATCTATAAATATACTGAACGGGTTTTTTCTTCTTTTTTTCTTCTCCAGAAGTAAAACTGTTAGATCTTTCAGATTTTAAAAATATGACAAGGCTAAATAATAAAAGTTTAACTTTTAGACTTGCTGCTTGTTCCTGGTTTTCAAAATTGAAATATATATCTGTGTTATTTCAGCCTCGGTTATAGGATGCTATTGGTTCCAGCTACCTAATGTAACCTAGATGTTCAAAGTTTGATGAATAAATTCATTTTACATGTGATATTTGAGAAAGACTTGAAACATAACAACATTTTAAATTATGAAATTTCATTTTTTGTTTTTCATTAGCTTATCTTTATGCTAATGAGATTTAGAAAACTCGGCTCCAAACTATAAAAGGGGTTATACTCAGGGTACCAAAGTCCAACAGAGCTGTTGCAGCTTTGTACATATATAAGTCCGTCCACTTTATTTATCATACTTATGATTTACTGAAAAAGTTTAAGACAATGAATGCTAATTTGCACATCTCAGTGAGAAAGACGTCAAGGTTGTTGTGACATAAAATTTTAAATGCCTATTGTTTGCTATTTTTCGCACTACATCTTTTAAATTCAGCTTTCGAACTGGTAGATTATTGTGAAAAGGACAAAAGTTTTATTTGTCAGAGAATTTTTTTATGGTAAAAATTTGGTCATGGTATTTGACATAACCCCGATAGGTATTGGTAAATATTTTTGGTTACATGCTAGTGTAATACCGTGATCGTTATTTCATTTGTCAATATTTTAATTATGACGTCACGTTACAATGATTTGCTCCGTCATCTTTCTTGGTGACGTCATCATCTTTCGTGGCAATTATTTCCCCGATCGAAAACACTCATCATGGGTTTGTTGGGTTTTTTCAAGAGATAGATAAGATTTTCTAGACATGATATGAATTTTATGTGAGAAAAAGGACCCCCACCCCCCACTGGTTGATAATCATGTTTTATATAACTCTTATAATATTGGTGACCCTTGTGTATTATACACTGTGATTAATTTACAAATTAACCAATCCGAGTTGGGTAACCAGGATAACCAGCCATCAAGGACCTCATTATACTTAGTTCAAGGCTGACAGAGTTGAGCAACAAGGGCAACTGGAGTCTTACTCCAGGACACCTTAGCTCAATTCACTTCCTGCAGGGATAGGAGCAGACCTTGTGGTCAATATAGGCAAAATGGTTCAAGCCATGTGCTGAAGCAGTCTATGATTAAACCAGCCCTGAAGGATTCTATTTCCTTGTTTCTTTGTTATCACCACAATGGTCATGTGAAGAAATAACATTTCGTATAACTGCGGTAAAAATGAAGTTATATTAATCAAATTGATCATTTCTTAAATTACACGGGTAAAAAAGAAATATATATATATGTTAACTTATTTCTTATTGTATATTTTTGATTATTAAAGGTGTCATTCTAACAGTATGTTGTTTGCCTTTATTTCTTTTTGAGCAAATTCCCCAATAACTGTCTCATCAAGAAGACTAGTTTGATCCTTTGATGTACATCAAAAGAATCTCGCGTTCGCTCCTCTGTAATCTTCAAAACACATGTATCTACTCAAGACAAACAGCTATCTTTGTGCTTTTAATTTGGCTTTGACATCTTCCAGGGGTGCAGAGAGCGTACGTCAGCGTAACCCCTAGAGTATCGAAGATGGTTATCTAGAGACATATTCCGGAACTTTGTAGCATACAGATATATCGTTACACTACTAGTCAACACACGAGACCAATATCCCAAGGCGATAGAAAAAGACATAATTAAGTCATTGTGTTTGTGGTTGCATAAATTCTGTCAAGTCAAGGCCGCATTCATCATTACTATATTTAATTATGAAAAACAATAATATAAGTATTAAGCGAGTATATTATCTCTCTTATTTGGATTTATATACATTCATCTTCATGCAATACTGTTGCAATTATTAATCAACCCTTACAATTTCCTTCCTGTTGGCAGATGGTGTCTCGTCAATACGACGTTTAATTTTAACAGGAAAGGTTTATTTGAGTGGATATAAAAAAACAAACAACCGCAAGTCCGGAAATGTTGAGTGTATATAAGGACCTAGGGACACAGCGATAAACAGGGACAATGGCAGTACGAGTTCCTGTACTATTCCAATAGTCATTTACTTTCTACCCTGTGTAATAATGTATCAGCATATCCATACTTACACCTTATCGTAAAGCGTGCGGTTACACAAGTATCTTATTTTGGCCTAATATAATTTTAAAGTTAATCGTACGACACGCAGAGACAAAGGGAGGCTTTCCGAGGTATATCGTCGCGCAGAACGTTGGTAACCATGCTTTGTATAAGGCAGCTCATTGGGTTGTTCTTTATACTGGAATACGGTATGGTGCGGGGAACATTATGTAATATTACCCGAACAAACCCTTGTTTGGATGTCGTTGATTACTGCTTTAATGCGGGCACCTGTTATTATGACAAGACCACCTGTCAGTATAGATGCCTTTGTGCTCCATTGTTCATGGGTCGAAGGTGTGGTGAACAGACACTCCCCCTACAGCCTACAACACTCCGGGTCACACCGTCGAATGATAGAGCTACATCGCCCAGTGCTACATCTAAATCACACAATGAAAAAGGTGTATTGTCCAAAGGTACATCTACATCTTCCAGCGGTACAATAACAACGTCCAGCGGTACAACTACGTCACACAAAGGTACAGCAACATCAACCAGAGGTACAGCACCATCGCCCAGCGGTACAGCTACATCACACAGCGGTACAGCAACATCAACCAGCGGTACAGCTACATCGCCCAGTGGTACAACTACAGGTACATCTTCCAGCGGTACGGAAACCTTGTCAAGCGCTACTGCAACATCGTCAAGCGGTACAGAAACATTGACCAGTGGTACAGCTGAGTCGTCCAGCGAGACAGAAACATTGACCAGGGGTACAGCTGAGTCGTGCAGCGATACAGAAACATTAACCAGGGGTACAGCTGAGTCGTCCAACGATACAGAAACATTGAACAGTGGTACAGCTAAGTCCTCCAGCGATACAGAAACTTTGACCAGTGGTACAGCTGACTTGTCCAGCGATACAGAAAAATTGACCAGTGGTACAGCTGAGTCGTCCAGCGAGACAGAAACATTGACCAGGGGAAAAGCTGAGTCGTCCAGCGAGACAGAAACATTGACCAGTGGTACAGCTAAGTCGTCCAGGGGTACATATGTAACCACAATGCGGCTCGCACGTCACTTAAGATCCGTCAGTGATCCCGATTCTATTCACGCTTGCTCTCCAGATTACAAAATGAGACCACGTCAAGAAAGGAATTGTTTGCATATTTTCCTTTGTAAATATGGCTATTGTCAAAAGCATCCGGACTTTTCATTTCAATGTATTTGTGATGATGGTGGACTTGGAGATGAATGTGAAGATACGTGTTGCTTGCCGTGTTCAGAGCATGGGATATGCGAAAAGTTTTCAAACGGCACCGAACGATGTCATTGTGATACCAACTATGAGGGAAAGTTGTGCGATATCGGGATGACATTTGACGAACTGGAATCAGGTACATATTCCATTTCCGTATACTTAACTACGATGTACTCAATCCGATATTTGGAATATAGCGTTATAATATAGATCTATTGATTTATATGTTCGATATTAAATGTTGACAGGTTTGACAATACACAAATTCGATGAAGATAAAAAGACAGAAATAATCAGTTTTTAATTGGTGAAATGTTTTTTTCGCTTTATCGTAAATTTCGCGGGTCACAGGTTTTCGCGTCGTGTCAGTTATTTTGTTTTTACTTGTCTATGCTATCATGTGACTTTCATGTGACACGTTTTCTTGGCTATCATGTGACCTTCATGTCAAGTCTTTGCTATCATGTGAATTTCACGTGACACGTCTTCTTTGCTATCATGTGACTTTCACGTGACACGTCTCTTTCTAAATTGCTATCATGTGACTTTCATGTGACACGTCTTCTTTGCTATCATGTGATGTCCATGTGACACTTCTTCATTGTCAGCTGATCTTGTCCTTCAAAATGAGTCACGTACAACAAGTAACAATTTGCATTACATTAGAATAGCTTTACCGCATTGCGAACAAAGGTATGATTGGTTGAAACCGGTTCGAAAAAACTTGGTCCTAGTCTGAGAATATGACTTCGTTCAGACATGTACGTGTGGATTTTCAGAGTGTTGTTCCGGGCCACCGTTCTTCGGTCTTTGAAAACGGCATTCTTTGTCTTTAATTTTGAAACAAATCTTGCTTTACAATGTTTAGAGCTTGGCATTTCGTTGAATTCATGGTTGAGTCTTTCCGCAAAAAGCGCCAAAATAACACTGCCGCAAAAACTACCCGATATAAAGTAAACGAAGGGAGTTTTAACACTGAAAATTGTTTAACTATTTAACAAAATGATTCTATTTTAATTGACAATTCACAGGACATACATATGTAATGTCTCTTTACATACGATTGGGATAATCCCCATGCAATAGGATGAGATGGGAATTAAATCAAAATATGAAATAGAAATATATTTTGTTCAATCAAACATATTTTATTGACACTGAAGGCCCTCCCCTAACAATTCAATATACAACATGTACAAATATCTCGTGATACATATATTATATACTAGTGCCGTCTGTGTCGGAGAAGATCACTAGCACGATCTCACATTAAATATCCTCTCTCTCTCTCTCAGTAACACTAAACTTAATTGAAAATATTTATTAATTTAGAAATTGCCATCTTATATATATATATATTTCATTATGTTATTGGGAAAGGGTTTTACATAAGATGGACAACTTGTGCCAAATCCCTTTTGTATATTAGATGCAAATAAAAATATGTTTAAATCAAATATATTATGTACTTAATAACTGATATGTAAAACATAGTAAACAATGTATGTACATATTTACATCGAGTGAGCAGTAGAGAGAATCGCCCAGTAACGATTCGGTATGGACTTAGATTTATTATCACACTTAATTAATACATATGGAAGTAAGTATAATGTATCAATCAATATCAGTGTTTACCTTTACATTTAATACGAATCACAATTTGAATGGATTTACATCGATTCAATATATATGTTGTTATATTTGGAATCATGTTGACACATGACAAATGAAATAGAAAAAGACGACAACAATATTAGGGGTATTAGCTATAGACTTTTCTGCTGGCACGAGTAATAAACAAGAAGATTAGAAATGGAAAGAAAAACACAAACAAAAAACTCCAATATTCTAGAATATTATTCAGGTTAAACAAAGAACTCCTACTCAACTCAATAGTTGTACTCAATTATATCATAGTAATTAAGGTTTATGAAAGAACTCCCACACCAGTTTGTCAAATAGTTGTTCTTAATTCTATAATTAAACTACGATTAAACAAAGAACTCCTGCTCCGAAAAGTCAAATAAATGTACTAAAACTTAAAATAGCACTAGGGTTAAACAGAGCTCCTACCTTAAATAAGTCAAACAGTTGTACTAAGTTGTATAATAGTACTAAGATTAAACAAAGAACTCCTCCGAAAAGTCAAATAAATGTACTAAAACTTCAAATAGCACTAGGGTTAAACAGAGCCCCTACCTTAAATAAGTCAAACAGTTTTACTTAGTTGTATAATAGTACTAAGGTTAATCATAGAACTACCTTAAATAAGTCATACAGTTGTACTAAGTTGTATAATAGTACAAAGATTAAACAAATAACTCCTACCTTAAATAAGTCAAACAGTTGTACTAAGTTGTATAATAGTACTAAGGTTAAACAAAGAACTCCTACCTTAAATAAGTCAAACAGTTGTACT